CCTTCTGGAGCAAAACCCAAAAAGGCGAAGAAGATCTTTCATGTGCCTGAACCTACGACTGGTACTCCTTCTGTCATGAAATTTGGATGAGAGTCGTCCTCGAACTCTGATGCTGATTCTGTTGAGAAAGAAGTTGCAAATTATGTTGCTGAACCTGACAAATCAGACAACAAACGTGCTGTTGCCAATGAACTCTCTCTTGCTATCGAAGGCAAAGCTATTGATGAAGCCGAAGGTGATGGTCTAGGCAGTCCTCTTGCTGTTGGTAATGCTTTTTCCCGTCAATTTTACTCTCCTGGGTCTAAAAATCTATTTTCTACCATTTTTCCTCAAATGAACTTTCGTCCTGAACAGACGACCGTTGTCATACATTTTGAGCAACTTGGGTTGCTTGAACTACTGAAAAAGGTTGGGCTTGAAGGCTCAGTCACGTCTGTTGGAAAATACTGCCCTCTGCTTGTGTGTGAATTTTACTCGAACTTGACCACCTCTATCTCTGGCGAACATTTTGAGCAACTTGGGTTGCTCGAACTATTGAATAAGGTTGGGCTTGAAGGCTCAGTCACGTCTGTTGGAAAATATTGCCCTCTGCTTGTGTGTGAATTTTACTCGAACTTGACCACCTCTATCTCTAACCCTTCGTCGATGAAGTTTCAAAAGGTTTTTGTGCGTAACAGTGTGATTGACTTTTCTCAATCCGTGGTAAACTCCGTACTTTGTTTAGCTGAAGGATCCAAGCTTGCCCCATTGACTGATAATCTTGATGAAGTTGCTCACACCCTGACTGGTGGGCAACCTAACAAATGGCTTGCTCCGGCATTGTTTGTAAAGAGTTTAATTTCGACCGCAAATGGTTTATAGAAGATAGGGGCATCGAACTGGACACCTACCACTCACAAACAGTTTGTGACCCCTATGCAGGCTCCTGTGATCTACCGTATTCTGAATGGCATTCCTTTTGACAATGGTTCTGTTTTTTTCATGTCGTGGTGGCATTTGTGGAGATCTCTAAGCCCCACAAACTGTTGCTCTATCCATCTACAGTTTGTGCAATCCTCTTCAAGGCTGGTGTGAAGATGGACCCTCGAATTGGTGATATTTTCTCCCCTACTCTCAAACCTCTTGCCCTTGCTGGTGTTAAGGTTTTCCCTCCTCGACCTTCTTTTATTAAGGCCTCTGAAGTGCCTTCTCAACTAAACCAACAAGTGGCAGTTCTCAGGGACTTGAAAAGAAGTTAATTTATCAAAGGAGGTACTACAAGGAGGTGCTAGGTGCTTTGAAGACACGGGCCCCTTTGGTATCTAAATCGAAAAAGGGGGAGATAAATAAGAAGGCTACTGTTGCTGCTGGACAGATGAAAGTACTTGCTAAGGTGGAGAAGCCAAAGGCTGCTGAAGTACTTGCTAAGGGAGAGAAGCCAAAGCCAAAGGCTGTTGTTGATGTAACCACAGAAAGGAAAGAAAAGGTAGTTGCTACCAAGGAAAATGGAAAGGAGAAGACTATGGAAGATGATGAAGGTTCTGAGGAAGAAGATGACAAAGAAGCAGGCTCTGATGCTGAGAATGAAGAAGAGGAGGTGGCTTCTGAAGAAAGGACTGAGGATAGTACTGATGAAGGTTCGGGGGAAGAATCTGAAAAAGAAGAGTCTGCTTAGATCTCTCAACTGGACATTCATATGTGTTTTGTTAAAAACTACTTGATCTGTAAGTGGTTGTTTGAACTCTTTCCTTTTTGTTTTCTTTTCTTCTTGCATGTGATGAACATTTTCCTTATTAGTATCCTGTGAACTATTTTGCTCTTATTCAGGTATTCGAGTTGTTCTTATGAACAACACTTATGTGATGATATAAGTATTCTTGGATTGTTATCTGTAGTGCAGGATTTGTATTTACTTCATGCAGGTTCAAGGAAATGGTTTCTGATTTATCTGCCAAAGGGGGACATTGTAAGTTCTGAAGATTGCATTAAATCGATGAACCTTCTGGTGTTCACAGGATTCAAAAAAACGCAAGTGTATTTAAGGGAAGTTGTTTTAGTTTGATTGGAAGCTCTTTTTATTTATTATTGTTTATTAATAATAATAAGTGTTTTATTATGGCAGGTCCATTGGAATAAACTCAGGATTCACCTTCCATAATCGCAAGAGAAAAAATTGCGGCCTTAAATATCAAGGACTTACCTTATGAGGATCTTTACTTTGACGGAAAGCTAAAAGAGGAGACTTGCCATGCACGACCTGCATATAAAAGGAGGATGAAACTCATGATGAGGACGACTTTTGCATCTTTGTTGATTGTATTCTTTTATTTTCGGAGAGAAGTCAGATATTCAGTTTGTTTTATTTGTGAGAGATTGAACAGAGTGTTCGGAGGTACATTCTGATATAGTTTGAGGGATTCGAACTAGAAAACCCACAAAGGATTTGTGGTCAGATAAATAGTTGTGTGAATCACTGTTCAAGTAGAGTGTAGAGGGAGTCTATACTGTAAACCCTTGGAGAGTGTTTGTGATATTCACATTAATGAAAGAGATCTGAAGGGAGAGTGTGACGCTCTCTTGAAGGTTCAATTTTAAGTGAAACTGGTTCCGCAATTATTTGAATCTTCTTTACTATCTGTTTGTTTATTTACTGGCAACTCTGGATACTTGGTGTACGAGTATCAAACTTCATGAATAACTGAGAAGGGTTTTCTCTCTTGTACTTATAGGCTTAGGGTTGGAGGGAGTAACTTACCATACAAGTTACACCCAAACACAAGAGAGAGAGATGGGGCGGACCGGGCGGGCGCGCGGGTTCGGCTCACGCGGTTACGGGGCGCGGTTGGTTGAGGCGCGGGCACACGGGCCGGGTTGCTCTCGGTTCAACTTTTATTATAACGTAGCTCGGTTCGTCCGCCACACGATAATTATTTAACCGGATAATATATATATATATATATATATCACACAATAATATTTATATTAGTAATAAGCGATTAATAACAATTAGATAAATAATAAAAATAATAATAATAATGACAATAATCATAATAATAACAATAAATAATACTTGAAAAATCTATAAATAAATGGGGCATCACATGTAGAGAGAGAAACATATCTGATGATTATCACAATCTCGTAATTATACAAAAAAAAAATCATTACTTCATCCTTTTTTGATTATGTTTCCTACGAATTGTGTTTATGTAAATATTTCTAAACTAGGGGTTATATATGTATTTTTCCCTTACTTGGAGGAAAATGAATACTTTAATTTGAACTACTTTTCTTAAACCCAAATTATATGGGCTCTACTACTCTAATTTATTTCCCAACATTTAAGATTTCACACAACTAATGTCACTCAACTTTTTTATAGGATAATATTTACATGTAGTGTTTAGCAATAATAATCCTTTTGAGTTTATTTCGGGAAAGTCATCAATCTGGCGCACCAGGACACAACAGTCAAATATAATCAATAATACACCATGTAAACGATATTATTTCCCATCTCACGGAACTTATTGTCTTAAGGAATAAATCTAACCCTTTGATGAATTATAGTGTTAAAAACACTTTTTGATAAAATGATATAGAATCAAACAATACAAAAAGTCTGGTCTTTTCACATCGGTTTTGGACCGACGAAAATGCAGACATGTTCGCATAGGTTTCTTCAAAAATTTATGCCATAAGAGCCAAAATAGGCCTCATTTTAACATCTTTTTTTATAGAAACGATGTCATAGGACTAGAGTTCACATCAATTTTCGTTAACGAATGTGCAAAATCTTTAGCTTAGATCAGTTATGGACAAAACCGTTGTTAATATGCTTACTGTAAGATCGGTTATTTACGGAAGCCAATGTATTGCATCAGTTTATTCAATAACCGATGTAACATGTTGCCACTATTACATCGATTTTTTAAAACTAATGTAAAATCATACTATTTTACAACAGTTTTGTTTAATTTTACATTACTTTTTGTAGTTGTATACGGGTATATGAAAACAACAAGAATAGCGCAAAATGCAATAACCAGTAAACTTAAAAGAAAGTTCACACAATTGCGGAAGCAAAAATTCTTCAAAATCACAACAACAAACATAAGTTTTAACAACATAAACGTGGTGACTTATTTTAATAAGTGTAATTAAAGTTGATGTGTTTGTGACGCTTTTTAAAATAACGTTGCAAAAATAAAATTATAACAACACTTTTTAAAAAATGTAATCAAATCATGTCGCTTTTTAAAGAGTGTCACTGTGTTACCAACATTCAGACATTTATTTAAAAGTGTAATTAAATTATGACGTTTTATACAAAGGCGTCGTCATGTTTAGTTATATGGCGACAAAATTTAAAAATTGTATTAAAATAGTAACATATTTTCAAAAAATGTCACAATATTTACTAATATGACAACATTTACCTCAAAGTGTAATTACGTTATGACACTTATACAACTGTGTCGCCATTTTTAAGTATATAACAACACTTAAGAAAAATGCAATTATTTAGTTATTGACATTATTAAACTAGGGTCGCATTATTTTATAACATAGTGACATTATCATCAAAATATTATTGGATTATGACACTTATAAAAAATTATTGTTGTTCTATATGGCAACAAATTAAGTTTTTTGGCCTAATATAATTAATTTATTAAAATCCCACGACCTTTCTCTCCTCTTCTCAAACCTAACTTTGTCGCAGTCTCCCATTTTCTTTTTCTTTCACCACGCCCCGCCGCTATGCGTGGCAATGGAAGGTGTAGGGAGACCGGGGAATCGGGGATATCAACGTCCTTCGTGATTTAGCCGCAGCCCTTTGCCATTTCCTGATTCCTAATTCCTTGCTTGTTTCCAAAGCCCCCAAAAGAAAGAGGATGGTTCTTCATGATGATGAAATCACTGTTACTGTAATTTTTCTTTTTGAATATCTTCAGCCATTTAATTTACATGTCTTATTGGAGGATTTTGTTATGTGATTCCATTTTTCCGTTCCATAGGCCGAGAAAATTGCCATGCTGGTGAAGGCCTTGAACATCACAGTCGAGTCATATAGGCCAAGACTTTTTGCTAAGCTTAGCGAGATGAACATCAAGGATCTCGTCAGTTGCGGCGCGTCGCGTTTGCTACTCCTGTCGATTGTGCTGCTACCTCTGCTGTTCATATTAAAGAGAAGAAGAAGGTAAAATTCTTTTATTTGGTTTTTTATCCATTACGGTTATATGTTAGTGGAGAAGAAGGTAAAATTTTATTTACACTGATTTTTGGTCATTCGGTTATATTATTATTCCATGTTTGAGCTTCAATTTAGTGAGAAATTGTTGAGTAATATCTTTACAGTAATGTTGCTCAGTATGATCAATTAGTGCTTGTTGTTGGATGTTAATTCCATATGTATAGTTTAGTGATAGAAATGCTCAAAGAAGAAGCAATAAAAAAAGAAAGAAGCAAAGCCAATTTTTTTACTTCACTGCCTTCATAGATAATTATGGATTTAGACCTTGATCATGTATTTTTTTTGTTTAGCATTCCAAATAATTATTTGTTAAATAATTAGTGCATACAAGTATTGGGAACCTAAAGGAACATTCAGTATCTATATTGAAGTATCTAATTCATGTTTTCTCAAGTTTCTTTTTTGTTATTTTTTTTTTTTTATTTTGTATGAGGAACCTAAGGATGAGAGTGATGATTACATGGGCTTCAGCTTTTTCGATTAAGAGGTGATATGAAAGTTTTGAAGTATGGTTTTGTTTTGAATAATTGTACCTGGGATGTAGCTTTATTTGAAGTATGATTTAGATCATTATAAAGTAATTATAATTTCTGCTTTTCATGGATATCCTCATATGATCAGTTGGATTTTAGGTTGCTAAAGGATTTTTATTTTTGGCAATGTTGACTTTACCGTTCAAAATTCTTGACGATTATATGTGTAGAATCATATTATTTGAATTTGATGTTCTCACCCTTACTAGTCTAGCGTACTTTTTTGTTTTGCTTTTTTATGAGTTTTAGTTTTTCATTTTATTTCGTTATCGAATTTTCTGTGTTTGCTGCCTTTCGGATCAAGGAGCTCATGACCTTTGTTGAGGTGATTTTTTGTGCCTATTTACTTGAAAAAGTAGTTTTATTATTTTGGGAAATGTTACTTTTTATAATAGGTTGTTATTTCAGTAGCAGCCATCTGAAAGTAAGTTTTAGAGGGTTTTTTTATTTCAGCTCTTTGCTTTTTCTGAAGTTGCTTGGAAGATCATAGAATATTATAACTCCGTATTAGGAGTCCTACAGTTGAGGGGACAATTGGTTTGAGAAATGAATGTTGATTTTGAAACCTGCTAACGAAAGAGAAAATGAAATAGTAAAATAAATTTAACAAACCTACGAAATAAATGGGTTGAAGTACTGACAACCAGTGAACTATGCCTAAGCAAAATTACATGTCTGTGTTGTTTTGCATCTAATGTTTAACTGTTGTTCTATGATTATCCTTTATTCGTTGGAATTTTTAACTTGTGTATATCATTTTGTTTTTCAAAAGCCAAGTTTTTGGTAACCCGCATGCCATCATCAGGAAGTATGGTTTGATGTGCTGCAGAGAATGCTTCTGCACCAACGCCAAGGATATCGGCTTCGTCAAGGTATTTGTTCGGTTACATTGATAACTCATTTGTTTATGACACTATAGTATCATTTCATATGATTCATTGTGTTTTGGTTTGCTTTTTTTGTTCTTGTGCAGTATCGTTGACTTGTAGGTTCATGACCTTGAAGATGGTTGTTTTGGTTCCAACTGTGTAGCATCTTAGTTTTTTTTTTT